AGGGTTCCTTTCTCCCCACAGCCTCTCCAGCATTTGTTATTGATTGAGTTCTTGATGATAGCCATTCTTTCTGGGGTGACAAGGAATCTCAGTGTTGTTTTAATTTGCAGTTCTTGAATGATTAATGATGTTGAACATTTTTTCATGTATTTATTTGCCATTAGTATTTCTTCATCTGAGAAGAGTGTATTCATCTCAGATGCCCATTTTTGGATTGGGTCTTTGAATTTGGGTCTCTGATTATTTTTAAATTCTTTATATGTCCTAGGTAGAAGTCCTTTGACTGCGGGGCAGTTGGCTAAAATTTTTTCTCAATTCGTGGGTTTTCTTTTTACTCTGTTGGTGATTTCTTTGGATATGCAAAACTTTTCAATAAGATGAGATCCCAGTTGTTGATTCTTTGAAGTATTTCCCATGCAGTTTGGTTTTTGTTCATGAATTCTCCGTCTACCCCTATGTCTTCAAGATTTTTACCTACTTTCTAAGAGGGAAGTTTATAGATGTGAATGTTCATATTACAAAAAACAGATCAGGCCCAAATAAATAATCTAATCATGCAAGAACAATGCAAATCTAAAGCTAGTACAAGGAAGGAATATAAAGACAAGTGTAGAAATCAGTGAAATGGAGGCTTAAGAAACAATACAAAGAATCAATAAATCAAAGAACTGGTTCTTTGAAAGATAAATGAAATGTGTGTATCTTTAGCCAATCTTGCCAGAAAATGGAAAGAAAAGATGCAAATCAATGCAATTAGAAATGAAAAAGTGAAATCACAATAGACATCACCAAAATCCAGAAGATTATTAGGAACTATCTCACAAAACTGTTTACCAATAAGCTGGAGACCCAAGAAGAAATGGAAAAATTTCTAGTTATATATGAATTACCAAAACTCAACTATGAAGATTTAAAAACCCTGAATAATCCAATAATAGGTAATGAAGTTAAAGAGGTAATAAATATGAACTAAAAAACCCAGGTCCTGATGGATTCACTGCTCAATTTCACAAGAACTTTAGACAAAAATCTAATATCAATAGTCCTCAAACTCTTTAATGAAATTGAAAGGGAATGAGTACTCTCAAAATCATTCCTGGAAGCTCCCATGACCTTGGTTCCAAAAGCAGGCAAGGATCCATCCAAAAAAGAAAACTACAGACCAGTCACTTTAATGAACATTGATGCAAAAATCCTCAAGAAGATACTAACAAACAATGTAACAAATTATTAAAAAGTCAGATATCATGATCAAGTAAGCTTCATCCAAGAGATCCAAGGAGAGTCCACCATACATGAATTAATAGATGTAATATACCACATAAACAGAAGCAAAGATGAGACCCATATAATTATCTCAATAGACACAGAAAAAGCCTTTGAGAAAACCCAACATCCATTCATGATGAAAACCCAGAAGAAAGTAGGTATAAAGGACTTTACCTAGTAAAAGTCACTTATGACAAACCTATTTATGACAAATCTATTTTCTTCTAAAATCAGGAACAAGACAAGGATGTTCATTATTACCACTCTTCTTCAATATAATCCTCAAAACATTAGCCAGAGCAGTCAGGCAAGAGAAAAAACCCAGATATATATAGGAAAGAAAGAAGTCAAATTATCATTAATTGCTGATGACATGATCCTCTACATAGAAGGCCCCAAAATTCTACCAAAGACTCCTAGGATTAATAGCAAAATTCAGCAATATAGCAGGAGATAAATGAACACACACAAATCATTAGCATTCCTGTACACTAATAATGAACTCACTGAGAAAGAAATTAGAAAATAATAAAGAAAAATACTGGAAGAAAAAACAGATAGAGATTTTGCAAATGGAGAGGGGATCAACAGATAAAAGGAGCAAGGAGGGAGGGAAGGATAGGGGACAGAAATAGAAGGTATGTCACATATATGTACCAACCCCCTCAAAAAATGTAATCATTACCTACAGCAAACATGTATTAATAAAAGTTAAACAAAATAAGGATTGAAATTAAAATTGGGTTGGATATCCATCTTTCCTGCTTCCAGTACCT